CCTAACCTAACCCTAACCCTAACCCTAACCCTAACCCTAACCCTAACCCTAACCCTAACCCTAACCCTAACCCTAACCCTAACCCTAACCCTAACCCTAACCCTAACCCTAACCCTAACCCTAACCCTAAATAATTTATATTTTTCTTCTTTTTCTCCCTTTTTGTAGGCTTCGTCGTTGTCGAGGTCAACATCGTTGTCGAGGGCAACATCGTTGTCGAGGGCAACATCGTTGTCGAGGGCAACAGAGTTGTCGAGGGCAACAGAGTTGTCGAGGGCAACAGAGTTGTCGAGGGCAACATCGTTGTCGAGGGCAACAGAGTTGTCGAGGGCAACAGAGTTGTCGAGGGCAACAGAGTTGTCGAGGTCAACAGAGTTGTCGATGGCAACAGAGTTGTCGAGGGCAACATGGTTGTCGTGGGCAATTGGTTGTCGAGGGCAACATGGTTGTCGTGGGCAACATGGTTGTCGAGGGCAACATGGTTGTCGTGGGCAACATGGTTGTCGTGGGCAACTGGTTGTCGAGGGCAACATGGTTGTCGTGGGCAACATGGTTGTCGTGGGCAACTGGTTGTCGAGGGCAACATGGTTGTCGTGGGCAACATGGTTGTCGTGGGCAACTGGTTGTCGAGGGCAACATGGTTGTCGTGGGCAACATGGTTGTCGAGTGCAACAGTTTTTTGTTAATTAATAGTCTTTGTGATCATTAATAGTTATGGTGATCCTTAATAGTCGTAGTGATCTATATTTGTCATTTGATCCTTATTAGTCTTGGTTATCAAATATTGTCATAGTGGTCGATAATATCCATATCTATAGTTTCATGGCATGGTACTTATGCTGTCATGGTTGTCTAGTTGTCTTAGTGATGTCTTAGTTACTTAGTATCCTTGGTTTTCCTGTTGTCATATAACTTTTGCTATCGTAGTTATCCTCGTTGTCTTGGATACGTTCTTATCGTTGATATATTGTTGTCTATGTTATTGTGGTGTCATGGATATCATTTTCTTTTAAGTTTTGTATTGTTTCCTCTTCCTCGTTGTCTTAGTTACTTTCTAATCTGTGTATTCTTATTTTCTTATTATCAATTGTAGTCTCGTTATCTTGGTGATAATGGGTTATCTTGGTGATCATGGGGTTGTCTTGGTGAGGATAGTTGTCTTGGTGAGGATAGTTGCCTAGGAGAGAATAGTTGTCTATGTCTGGACGGTTGTCTAGGGGATGATCGTGGTCTTATTGAATAATCATAGTCATAGTGTCCAATATCGGTCGTAATGATTAATCATAGTCATGGTGATTATTCTTAGTCATGGTGATCAATCTTAGTCATGGTGATTATTCTTAGTCGTGGTGATCAATCTTAGTCATGGTGATTAATCATATTCATAGTGATCATTCTTAGTCATTGTGCTTAATCCTAGTCATGGTGATAACTGATCTTCATAGTGTTGTATTTATCGTAATGATCTAATTGTCGTCGTTATTCCTTTTTGTTGGCATAGAATTCTAGTTGGCCTAGAAATCTAGTTAGCATATTCATTCCTGTTGTCATAGGTATTTAGTTGTCATAGGTATTTATTTGACATGCTTATGTATTTATCATAGTTAACTAGTTGACATAGTTATGTGGTTGTTATAGATATCTGGTAGTCATGGTTATCTTTGTATTCGTAGTGATCTGTGTTGTCATATTGGTATGATTAGTCATAGTTATCTATTTGTGATATGTATCGAGTTGTTATAGTTATCTCGTAGGCATAGTTATCTGGTACTCATAGTTATCTATATTGTCATGGTGATATGATTACTCATAGTTATCTGTATTGTCATAGTTATCTCGTAGGCATAGTTATCTGTACTCATAGTTATCTGTATTGTCATGGTGATATGATTACTCATAGTTATCTATTTGTGATATGTATCGAGTTGTTATAGTTATCTATTTGTTATAGTTATTTCGTAGGAATAGTTATCTGGTAGTCATAGATCTTTCGTAGTTATAGTTTTCTGGTAGTCATCGTTTTTTTTTGTTGTTGTTGTCATATATATGGAGTTGTCATAGATCTCTTGTTGTCCTAGCTTACTTGTTGCCATAGGTATCTTGTTGTCATAGATATGCTGTTTTCTTAGTTATATTGTTGTTATAGATATCTTGTTTTCCTACTGACCTGGTTGCTTTGTTACGTGTTGTCATAGAAACCTTTGAATCCTTGTAATTTTGTTGTCTTACATATCTGCTTGTCTTACTCGCATTCCTTTCGTCAATACTTGTTATCTTTGATATCATGTTGTATTAACTATCTTGTTGCTCTACGGACTTAATTGTCTTGCATACTTGGTTGTCTTATGGATACGGTTGTCTTGCATACTTGGTTGTCTTATGGATACGGTTGTCTTACTTACCTGGTTGTCTTATGGATACGGTTGTCTTACTTACCTGGTTGTCTTATGGATACGGTTGTCTTACTTACCTGGTTGTCTTATGGATACGGTTGTCGTAGATATGTCGGTGTCTTGCTGTCGTAGTCATATAGTTGTCTTCGTTACTTGCTCACTTGGATACCCTGTTGTTTTAGTTATCTTGTATCTTAGATACATTATCCGCTTAGATTTGTCGTTGCCTTGGATATCTGGCTGTCTAATTTATCTGGTTGTCTTATATTTCTCGTTGTCGTGGATATCATGTTGTCTGAACGATTTCGTTGCCTCAGACACATTATTGCCTTGGTTATTTCGTTACCTTAGTAACATTGACATCTTGGATATACTGTTATCCCGTATGTCTTGCTGTCATAGATATCATATTATCTTCCTGATATTGTTGTCCAAGATATCTCGTCGCCTTAGATATCTTGTTGTCTTAGTTACTTGGTAAATTGAATTGTCTGTCGTCTTGGCAATTACCTTTTTCTTTAATACTAGGGTCTCTTGTCACCTTAATCGACCTGGATACGTTATTTTATTTGCTTCTTGACGCTCTTGGATTTAATGTTGCTCTCAATATTTTGCTGGTATTTTATTTTTTGTTCCTTGTCCATTTTCATTCCAAGTAACGTATATGGGTTTTTCTCTAAAATCCATAACTATGTATGATATGTAGCGTGACAGTTCTCCTTAATTGTGACCTGTACATACTTTCAGGCTTGATAAAATTTTATGACTTCGTCATTTTTTTAGGAATTATTTGATAACAAGACCTATCTAGCCTTTTGTTTACATATTGCAGCCAATTCTGAATATATTTGCACTGCTCCCATGACGCTATAAATTCATTCAGACTTTTAATATTTTTTTTGTATATATTTACGTAAAACATTTATTTTGTTTGCCTTTCTTTCTGCTAGTGCGCCATGTTTAGACGGCTGGTTCTTAACAGTTATGAAGATTAATAGCATGTCATGGGAGAGCGATTTATCAAGGTCCCATCATATAAACGTCACTAAGAAACTATTATTTTATGATATTATCTTTTTTTTCTTGATTTCAATAAAGTATTTAGTCCAACAATGCGTCAATTGGTGTTTTTCTTACATGGCGTGTGTTGATATACTCTCTATCTTAATCTATATCCATTCGGCTTCTCCTTCATTTCCGGATGTTGTCGTAACGAACTAAAGTTAGGCCATTCTCGTCTTTTTAATTATTATGTCTATACTTTGTGAATATGCAAGGATTAACAATAAATTGCGCACAAAAAGACGATGGGAAATACCAGACGTTATTCAGCATGTCTCATTTCATTTATACGTCCGATGAAAACTTTATCTCGTACTCAGTAACTACTCCATATACACTTTATCACGATTGTATGATGATTGTAAACTCGTTGTACTTGGTGGAACGCTTCTCTGGCGTACGCTAAAATTATCTAAAAAACCGTTGACGAACAAGATCCTTTGATAGAATATGTATCTTCCACCAATTCCTATATTGCCTTCGTACGTTTGGTACTTTGTTTAATGTTGTTTAATCCTTACTATATTTTCTAGGACGTCGCCCTCTTATGTGCTAGATCGATTAAACAGACATTTAATTATGTGGTCACATATCGTTTGTTATATTTTGTACAACAATCTCCGACCTTATAGTCCCTACTTTATTATTTTGTCCTTTACTCAATCATTTTTGGCGATGGACTTTTTGTAGTTGCTTAAACAGCTTGGGGTGACGGTTTTTGGCATAGTTAGATTATTACGATGTTTTCATAAGCTTTTTAAATTCTTTTCAACTTCTAAGAAAGACTTTTCTGTCTTTCCATAAAATATTTTCCTTCTGGCAATCTCTTTCTGATTGATACCACACTTTAGTTTCGCGTTTTCACACTCTTGCGAGAAGTGTATTAGATGTTATTTTAATTACTGCTGTTGTTGTGGTCATGTAAAACTGTCTTAAAACAATATTTTGTGATATTTTTATTTTCTACTTATTCATGGAGACATTTAGTTCAATACCGATTCAATTCATTATCTTCAGATTCTGCTCGTGGTGTACGTGGTGTTTAATGAAATCTTAAACTACTTCAATATGCCTTCCATTCTGGGTTTTGTGCAAAGGCTCATTACTTACCTGTTGTTTGGTTTTTTTTGACATGTCGGTACTTTTTTCTCAGTCGTCGATCAATCTTTCTTTTACTTGGTACAAACAAGGGCGAGACACTGCAAAAAAATTTCTATCACTAGCAACCTACTAAGAAGTTCTTCAAACAAACTGTCAGATATTTTAGGTTTCCTGTCCATCGTTACTGCAACTATTGCAAGCTGATCCGAAGATCTTTGTGTTTGGCAATTTTATGCACAGAAATAGTTAAATAGAGTCACGTTGCTATTCAGGCTTTGGGAGTTATTACTTTCTTACGCGTGGTCATTCCATAAATACACTCTAAGTAGATGTTTGGTGTATAAATAATCGCCTTGCGTTTTGATGATTTCTTATTACGGCTGATATTGTACGTGACTCCAATTTACTTAGAAATGAATTCGTAATAAATACTACATTTTAGCCATTTATAAATACTAGTTGACATATAAACGGACTATCGTCCTTTCTACACTTTTTTAATTGATTTTACGCTCAAACATTATTATTCTAAACCTAACAAATCTTTTCCCATCTCCTTAAAAGTTTCTTTCAACTTCCGAGAAATATTTTTCTGTTTTTGTTTATGTGTCCTTTTTTTATTTATTTTATAACGTATTTGGTTCATTAACAAGTCAGTTTATGTTCTGCCTATCTCGTTTGTATTTTACATAGTCTTTGGAAAAGGACAGAAGTATTTAAATCGGCCAAAAGGTGCTGCTTTGTTAAAAAATTCCATCAACTACTGACTATTCGTGTTTTTAGTAAATTCATTGCTCACTTTGTGTCATTGCTGATTCATTTCTATATTTTAATTAAAGCTGCCCTACCAAGTACTACCACCCTCACAGATATTCCCCTATCACTTGATATCGTTAATCAAAGATTTGTACGCGATTTTTAATTACTATTACAACAATTTTAGACTTACTTCATAAACAATGACTGTTTGGTGTTCATATTTTGTTTCAACACGAGCTAGTCAATTATGAAACTGTTACAAGTACTACTTGTTTAAGCATATGGTATAATTAATAGGTATTCTGTAACATCGACATTTTTGCTAATTTCTGTGGTTTTCTGATCAATAATTGTTTTCTGTCCGTAATGTTTGGTAGATAGATACTCTATTTAAAGCTAGCACTATTATAAAAAGGCTTATTACTGTGTCCGTCAAAAGTTTAGCGTAGTTGACCCAAGTATTTTTTGGCTTCTATGTCTGACTGTGTCGTGTCTTACCTCCCTTATGGTAGAGACTTTTTTAACAATGTAATTAGACAGCCCAGGCTATTGGCATTTTATTAAAACTATTCCTACCTCTTTAAAAATGTTTTTCGACTTCTGAAAACTATTTTTCCCTTTAAGTAAATTATACTTTTATTAAGGTATCTTTTGGCTGGTGGCGATTAATTGGTGTTTTGTTCTCATACTTGTTCCATGAACCTACAGTGTTCTTCTTAAGCTGTCTAAACTGGGTCAGTCCTTTAGAAGTGTCCGAGAAAGTATTATTTGTTTATATTGTCGAGTTTTTTATGTATTTAAAAAATTGTGAAGGTACATACGGTGTCAATTCCGTTGATGTTTACCCCATGTGAAGTGGAGACATTTCTTTTATCATGCTAAAACTATTAAAATTATTTATCAGTACTGGTTGTTGGCAAAAAAGTATCAACCATACCAATTGGTGATATTTTTAATAACTTCCTCCGTACTCGCTAGTATTTAAGCACGGTTTCCCATTTTCCATCCAAAAAAATATGGAAGTAGCAAGTTAATTTCAAGTGACTCCTACTTACACACCCAGAGGATTTTTTTGCAGGTTTATTTGTAAACATCGGTGAATGATTTCGAACCGTTTTGGGAATGGGGGGAAGTGAGCTGGGGGGTCTTTGGGGGTGCTCTTTGGGGGTCTATTGGGGGTCTATTGGGGGTCTATTGGGGGTCTTCATTGGGGGTCAAAAAACGATATAAAAGCGATTACGTAGCATTAAAATAATAAAATTTTATTGGATAAAAATGTATACAAATAATCATAAAAAACGGTTGCTTTGGATGGGGATGCCCAGTCGTAACGCGATAAAAGCAAATACCAAAATATGAAAGAGGAAGATACTATTGTAAAAAGCATGTTAGAGAACATAAAGGTAGTATTGGTATTATCCTAAACACGCGTACCTTGTAATTTTAAGAGAGGGAGAAACAGAGGGAACAATACACTAAAAAAAATCATTTTATAAAGGAAAAATGATATGAAAAAGATGGAAATGTCATACCTTACTAGGTTCAGAACGCCAAGAGTGAAAAGCAGCTTTGGAGAAGATATAATATGTTAATAAATGCACAGAAAATAAGGATTAACAAAAACGCGTGTATATTACCCACAGTACACAAAGCAATACTTGCATTCAATTTCCTGTTGATTAATGAACTGTTAACGAGGTTCTTATAATATGTGTATTAATTACCTTAAGACGATGGCTTCTTAAAAACAAAACTCAAGTTAATCATATTTTTGATTAAAAAAGAAAGAAAGAAGAGAGAAAGGAGAAAAAAAAAGAAAAAATGTGATTTAAAAGCATCAGCATTTTGTTACACTGCATGAGACCAAATCTCTAAATGAAGGCAGTGAAAATGTTTTGCCAAACTTCATAATTTCAATTATACTCACAACGCAAAGCAATGTCTTTTAACGTATTCTCTATTCACAATGATGATACTTTCTGCACAAGTTGTAACATAAATCTCACAACCAATACTAACTTTAACCGTCATCAAAGAATCATCCATGGGCGTGCAAGTAACGCACATGTTGAGTACGAATTACTATAAAAACAAAAAAGACTTCAAAAAATACATATACTTACCAAAACATCATTGATAGTTCTCCTACAAACGATAACCATAATCCAGTAGATGAAACCGCTGAAACCGCCGATGCCAATGATTATTTTGATAGCTCGGAAGAGGATGACGGTGCTAACCTTGCCTATCCGTTTGAATCTGATGATGAGTCTCTTTCTGAGTCAGGCAATGATGAAGTTGAAGGACCTATACCTATCAAATTACATCTGTCTTTAGCTCTAATCCTTTTTATCCTTTTAAAAATGAAATGGAAATGAAGATCTTGATGTTCTTTAAGGGTTCACAAGACAGAACATCCATCCGATTAATAAAGAAGACCATGCATTTGCTGCGCGAATTGATTACGACATCCCTTCAAGAAAGGGATTTGATTCAGCAAAGACCAGAAGGATTTAATCCTCTGCGCAACATACCAAAGGATGATCGTATTTGCAAAAGCCATGACACCAGAAGAAAATTCCCTCGTCTTGAAGTTGATAAGGCTACTATTCCAAAGGGAGATGACCGGTCTGTGGAATTATTTTTCATAAAGCCCTCGAATCATTTGCGATTGGTTATGGCTAATCAGCAAAAAACTAAACTTTTTAAATCGTTACCAGATTTCACTCCAAACCAGCGTTATCATTTGAATCAAGGACGGAAATGGAAAGATAATAAACATTTCCAGTTGCCAATGGTAGCTAAAGAATTCACAAATGCTGATACGGATTTTTGGATTGGTGATGTAGTCAGTACCCGCCCAAATCAACGACAACGCCAACAACAGCTATATATTATCGCTAAATTTCTGACAGTGAACGATGGCCTCTTTGTCAACGTTTTTCCCATCGATTTTACAGATAATTTCCAGTCAGCAGCTATTGATTCAACTGGATCCAACATTCCTGTAACAGATATACTTTTTTGTATGACGGTTTTGCAGCTTCATGAACAATGCCATCCTCGATTATGCTCCAAAATAATTGACAATAGTGGTGAAGTGAGATATACATCTTTCAATCAACTGATTCCACGCCATTTTGTCATGATGACTGAAGGCCTCAAATTTCGTGAGCGAGTACCATATGTCAGTTCGAATCGACAAATGACAGTTCGGGTAGTTCCTATTTCTTTGTTTTCGGACCATACTAGCGGCAATAGATCTAAAAAATGGAACTGATTTCACAGCTGGGTGATGAACATTGCTGCGTTCGATCTTGAGGAGAGCAACAAGTACGAAAATCATTTCTTTCTGTGTACCAGTAATCACAAAGTCACCGCAATGGAAATGGTTAAGCCTTTGACAGAAGATTTACTCGATCTGGAAAAAGGAATAGTGATGTATGATGCCGAACTTCAAAAAAACGTTTTTGTGATTGCACCTGTACTGTTTTTTCGTGGAGACAACGTTCGTCAGGCGGAACTAGCCTTAAGCAAAGGATTAGGGCTAATCACCCATGTAGATTCTGTTATTGGCAAGCTGATCCACCAAAGCCTATGACCACTGGAAAACAGCCAATAGCCTTGAGGTATAGCTCCGAAACGTACACTGCTGAGTTAAGAACATTAGAAGATTTTCTTTCCTTTGTAAACCCGGAACAACCAGAGCGTGCATCCCCGGTTTATCTTCCTAACAGAGGGCGGGTAACAAACCAAGGAAACATAAAAGAACCTGGAAGTTTGAACAAATAGGGAGAAATCGGGTTCAAGCTGACAGATGCCGAGGATTTGTTGAAGTTAAAGGCGGTCGATTTGTCTCAAGATTTGCCTGTAGAAATCTTGCACACTTTGCTTTTGGGAATGACCATAATGTTTTAAACTCGCTCGTGACTTTTTTTTAAACGATGTACAGCTTCAACTGTTAACTCAATTTTTCCGAAACTACAACTCCAAAGTATTGCATCGCAACCTTACATCTTCATTAACCGCATTTCGCTCTTTTGTCGGAAGAGATTTTAAAATCCTCGTACAACTACTCCCAACACTTTTGCAAAAAGCAAACTTTTTCAATTCTTCATTGTTCGATGAAAATCAAGATTCCTTTAGATCCATGTTTGAATGCTTTGACAATCTCGGCTTACTCGCTTCACTGGTATACATGGAAAAAATCAACAATTTTCACTACTACAAGCAAATATTAGATATAACTGTGTCGAAGACCATCACAGCTATGGACGACTTACATCATACGACCGTTTTGACTAGAAGAAGATCTGCTGCTGCTGGAACAGAAGCTATCACCAAAAGGAACTTTTCGTCATTGTGCAACCGACTGAAATCCCATTTATTGATCCATATTTCGCAAGATGTTGAACGGTTTTCCGGTGGTCCTCATACCGAGACTGAACGAGGTGAGTAGCAACACAAGTTCATGCGTGAGCTGTTGTGCCATACTAACAGACAGAACGGTGGGCGAGATGTTGCTGTTCGATTTGCCGAAGAGTTCATGCTTCGTCATATCAGTCAAGGTGGTTTATTCGTTAAGGATCCGTCCTCTTCACTTTGGGAAACGTGTGGCGTCAAAGTTCTGGAATCGTTTGATGCAACGATTAATCAAAGCGAGCTTGAATTATTAGACAACAACAACAGCCAGAAAAAGCTTGCACTTGGAACTACTGGTGTCTTTCGCAATGGTAACAGTTCCAAGTCAAGCGGTCTTTCCCTTGGTAAAACTGTTATGAAAAACGGCCAAGACTTCCTCGTCCAAGCATATGATTTTGTTTGTCATGACTCCTTTTCGCAAGGTCCACAATCAAGTATTTATGAAAGCTGCGTTTTAGATGTTGCTGGCAACGTTATAACTCGCAGACTACCAGGTGACGATTTTGTAATTGCTGGTCGTGAACAAAATCGCGTTGAATTCGTGCTGGACATGTCACAACCTCCTATCTCTTCGGATTACGACACTTCTTCGACGTTGAGTATTAACAAATCAAAATTCGATAGCATTTGGTGGCTTCTCAACACGCGTTGTAGTTTGGAAAAAATCGTAAGATTACCAAACTTTTAGATATATTCATTCACACATTATTTTGTTATAAAAAAAAACGTAAAGGACCTTTTTTTTTCATTTTTTGTGAAGTTCATTTGAAAAGCCGTCCACGTCATGCAAACATGATTTGGGGGCGGATCTGAAGTGGTGGGGGACACTTGGGATGTAAACAAAATAACAATGATGCACAAATTTGTCTTAATGGGGAGCCTTGGGGGGACGCTATGCATTCTTTTTTTTTTAAAAAAAAATAGCATCCAATGGATTTCATTTATTTTTGGGATTATCATTCACCCGTGTGTGACTCAGCCTAGAAAGGCAATGGCTGCTCTGGGTGTGTAGTTGTTTGAGAAATAGCTGGCATTGATTTGTTTACCAACAAGTTTGTTGACAAAATCAACAAGTCTTGTTGATTACTTCAACAAACTTGTTGAATGTAACTTTATTGCTTTTGCAAACAAATTTGTTGATTTTACAAACAGGTCTTGTTGAACTATTTAACAACTTTGTTGGTTTTACATACAAGTCTTGTTGAACCTTTCAACAACTTTATTGATCTTACAAACAATTCTTGTTGAACCTTTCAACAACTTTGTTTGATTTATAAACAGTACTTGTTGGAAAGTACAACAACTTTGTTGGTGTTTCAAACCAATGTTGTTTCGCTTTTTCATATTTTTATTCGTAAAACGGTATAAAACAACCAATGGTTCTTGATTTCATTATCATTCAGTCATCATTTTATATAAAACACAAGATAAATTATTAAACAGATTTTATTATCGTATATACAATGGCTATGGAGAAGCAGAAATATCTTTTATGATGATAAGGAAAAGAGTCTTTTTCGACATTCGTTCTTAGAGACGGCATAACCATGAATAGGGCACTAATACGCAGATAATAAAGTTTACAGTCTTTTGCACCCGACATCGAACGAGACATAAAACCAAGAAAGAGTGCTTCGTATGAATGTATTGATCCTCTAAAAAACAAAACTAGAAACAAAAAGAAGCGATTTAGAGTAATCTCAATCTTACGTTAACCGTACATCATAAAACAGGCGTACCGTTAGTCCTAAAAAATGATAAACAGATATGTGAGCAATTATTAAAAAGATATACTGTAGCAGCCGTTAATTTATGGATTGCTCTCTTTACGATACTGGCATAACTCTTAGCATCAGAGAAAATACAACAATCATCAACGTAGGTTGCTATTTGGGCTTCACCATTAAATATAATATTCATGACCCGGCAAAATTGACTAGTTACAAATTTGAGACCAAAGCAAGTTCCTACCCATTTATATGTTTTGTCATCAAACATAAAAGATAGTACTTCTTGACTGGCTTCATCCACTTTGAAGCTATTGTATGCAGACTTTAAATCAAGCTGACTAAATACAACTCCTGTGGATACCTTGTCAAAAATATCTTGGATATTAGGGACGGCAAAATCTTCTACCAAAGAATCATCAATATTCATGTTTTGTCTTCTCAGATCAAGACAGACTCTGGTGTTGGTAAGATTAATGTTTTCATCCTTTTTTCCAATTGCTAATAACGGTGAATTAAATCTATTACTTGGCTTACTTTCTACTACGACCCCTGAACTTAACCATTCGGCTAATTGTTTCTTTATTTTAGGTCGAGCATGGTAAGGTAACGGATACTGTCGGATATAACAGTTTGATGCATTCTTTTTGATAGGTATTCTGACGATACTTTCAGGAATGTTACAAAACTGACCCGGTTTAATTTCAGCATTTCGTTTAATAGACGGTTTAATAAAGCTCATCAATTGTTCTCTTTCACTTAAATTACCATAATCAGCATTTTCAGGATCATATTTATCCGATGGATCATAGTTAGCGTTTTCAAATTGAATATCTTCAGAATCTTCATCATCTGGATATTTATGTGCTACGTTAGTTAAACCGACATTCAATTTAGACAAGATTGTGATATTTGATAAAATGCACGTATAAAAATAATGAGAAAAAACTGTAGCAAAAGTAGGCTTAAAGAGGATAGTTTTGCAGAAAAAAAGGTAGAAAAAAACAATAGGATCGATTAGAATTCTTGTCAGAGCTTATTGATGTTAAAGTTAACTAAAGATTTAAGAAGAGGAAAAATAAAGAGTATTTATAATAAATGGAATGGACGAGGCTGAGGATACTACTCTTAATAATATGAGTATGCTATCAATAACAATATCTATATTGGACAATTAGTGCTACGCATAGTCAATAGAGAAATAATAACAATAACATGTCTTAAGTTTGGACATTGGTGTTACGATACCGTGACACTTTAAAATAGTGAACGGCTTTAGCGAATTCCTTTTGTATGCCTGATCATGATTTAGCTATCATTTATCAGTGATGATGAGATATGAATTTATTATATGTACAATCTATATGTGTGATTTAGCACAAAAACGAATATTTTTATTAGGGTGAAAATAGACTAAAGAACTCTGCTGCTATGAAATAATCAATCCTTTTTATATTGCCAACATCTCCTGGATTTATGATGAGTCGACCTTTCTGGTTTTGGAATAAATCTATATTTTAGTCTTCCATCTTGTGTTATCTAAACTCTACTTGTTAGAATTGATTAAAGGTAACGTTGTCCCAGATGTGTAAAACAGGAACACGAGTATTCTGACAAATACTTGTTGCAGTGTCACACTTCTTTGTAAGATCGTGTAACGGATACTGTTAAAAGATACATACTTGTTTGTCAAGTGTAATTGGCAATAGAACATAATAGTTGTAATTGATCATTTATGCTTTAATTTTCTAATGCATAAAATACGATCCCAAATATAGAATATCTTATCGAAATTTGTATATTTGGTTGTAGAAGATAGGTATCCATTAATTCATACACTATTTTTTTATACTCTTTATAGGCAGTATAATTATATCAACATATAAGTAAATGAACCATTTATACTAATAGCTGTTCTATTCTCTCTATGGGTAGCTAAGCCATTGAGAGAACTATTAATATTAAGTTTCTCTTTCTTATAAGTCTTGATTTGATCTGAGAAGATTCTCTTCTCGATCGGTGATATCGTAACTCAGCGGTATGGCTTTCTGTATCCAACTGTCATTCGTATATCGTATTTAGGCCAATCATGTAATCTTTAATATAGAAATATGTACTCGAAGTAGGAGAAGTTGTGTAGCAGTATACATGTGTATGCTGATATGCAACATTGAAGGTTCTTTTTTATTTCATAATTTAATTATTTGAACGATTTGCTTATTTATTCTTAAGTGAATCGTACCCAAATACGACAAAGATATCTGTTCCTAAGAATATGTCGAGTTCGCTATCAAGTGGATCCAAGAATTCTACCACTTCGAAACAAAAACTGAAACTTATATCATTAGGGTATCTGACTTTCATTGGTTCAGTTTGACCTATTCTTTTAGCAGAATTTGAGAGAAAGTTTAAATTGCCTTTTATATTATTGATTTTTATTGATGGAAAACGATTATTTAATATGTATTTATTAATACATGTTGTATCAGATCCAGTATCGACTTTGCCTTTCAGTTTTCTATCATTGAGAATGAGAGGAGTAATTAATGATTTGTAAGGGTTAAAATTGTTTTCAGTAGACTTACATTCATAGCTGTCGTTTTCGTTATCGTGGGAAGGTCCGCCACGATCGGACTTCTTACCCTTACAATCCTTGTTGATGGAAAGGACGTTCTTGTCGGCGAACTTATCCTTATATTCCCGGCAACGATGGCCGTGGCTCCATCTACGTCCACAATGATCGCATGGTACGAAGGACGAAGAAGAGGAAGTAGCAGGCTTGGGTCTATTATGACTTCCAAGGAACCGGCGAGAAGAAGAAGAAGAAGAAGAAGAAGAGCCTTCATTGGAGCGAGCGGTGTCAGTGGCTGACTTACCAGCGTACTTGCAATTGTCATCGTCATGGGAGTAGTTATCACCATGGATCTTGCAGTGATACTTGGCATCAGGATTGGAACGTTTCTTGGGAGAGCGGTCCAGCGTGTCGTTAGACTTACGCTTCGAGTTAGAGTGGCCATCATGCCCGGGAGTCTTGTCACTAAAAATACCAAGAGCGGCCTGGTAGACATCCTCAGCAGTCTAAGATACATCCTTCAGCTTTTTCGAATTCACCACCGTCATGACATTAGTTTGCCAGTTGTTGGGCAAAGCCAGGAAGTAGAGATCCGCCATGATCCTATCAGACACCTGGTATTCAGAATCCTCAACCATTCGGATGAAACGGTTGTCAAAGTCAGAGATATTCTAATCATGGTACATGGAGAGAGATATAAGGTCCTTGGTGGCAAGGACCCGCATTTGACGGTTTCCAAACTTCTTTTCCAGGACTTTCTTGGCAGCATCCCAAGATTCACAATTCATAAGTGTGGTAAAACACATAATATATAACTACGTAAGCTACATAAATAATAACGGCTACAGCCAATAATAAATATACACAATTGCATAACAAAGCATACAACCAATAAAATACATAATACCATTTCAGATAAGGATATGACAGTAAACGATCCTTATCACCATTCTACCATTAGTCATAGACAGGGACAGAATTTCTATAATAAGGAAATAGAAAAAGAAAACTCTGTGTTACCTCACAGAGTATCTTCAAATCCAAATATACCTGCTGTAATCATAAAAGATAGACAGCCATTTTTCTGTGTAACATACACAGAATATAGTTTCTCAAGCATAAGATAGTGATAAGCACAGTAACAGCTTATCACAATTATAAATCATTACCATCTAACAATTCATATAAATAGGACGATTTCTAGATAGATAGTTTTCCTTTAGTTTATTTTTAACTTTTAACCTGGAATAAAACCACACTGGATATTTAACTTATTCCCTGTTTTTATTTTTATTCTTTTTATTTTTCTGTGTAAACCAATCCCGTTTACCACAATAAGGTCTTTTCTCATCCAAGCCTTAAGTTTATCGGCTAGAGCGATGGGAAGGTAGCGCCAGTTAGTCTTGACCTCTTGACGGGCCGACATGATCACCTCTTCGAAAGTCTTAAGATAGTCATCGATGTTTTTAAATACCTGTCTACCCTTAAATTGCTGGTACGTCTTTCCAACTAATTGGAGACGGGAAAGGTCCTCTCTTGACAAGGTTAATCCTTCGTTGGCAGCGGGAGTGGTAGCATACTTGGAAGCTTCATTACATCTGATCATGAAAGTTGGTACGGGTTCAGCCTTGGAGGCAAGGGATTGGATTATCGAATTTATTCTTTCGATCTCCACAGACAAATCATAACAACGGTTTTGCTCATTGGTCGAGCAGCTCGTCGCAGAAAGGGCCTGGATCATGGCTAATTGGATAGCTTCACGACGGCTGACTAGGTCAGCGATGATGTCTTGAGGGGTCTTGATAACCTCGGATTCAAGAGGAGGGGCCTGGGTCACCTCAATGTCTTGGGACATTTCTTGAAGATGAGAGGGAGCGACTTGAGCTTGCTCGGTAGGACCTTCGTGAAGCTCACGTTCGATACGGGCATCTTCCCATTCTTCAGTAGCAGCTTGAGTCATAGGACCAATGAAAGCAGCAGGAGAGATGTTGAAGGGGGAACCAGCAGAAGAGGAACCAGCAGAAGAAGAAGGAGCAGCCATAGTAGTAGTAGTAGGTAGGTTTGAAGTAAAAGTTTACAAGGGTAATCTTAAAAAATGTGGAGAAACTTTGTTTAACACAAAAAAAAATAGATAAATAAGATTAATAGTGCTTGTAGGCTTTTATTCTTATTATTCGTTTTAAAACTGAATGCCCTTCTACATTATGGTAGAAGGCAGGGTATTTATAGTTATTGGGATCTGTAGTTTAAACGGTTATCTAATAGTTAGTGAAGGTACCATTGGGTGGTATAATACATGTCCGATGGTGCCTTAAATTTAAGCAGTCATTGCCTTTATGATTGGATTGATTCGTAAACAATGAGCTACTCTTATTGTTCTGTCAGAATTGAGAGGACGATGGTTCT